TTAGGCAGTCAGTGTGAATTCCTCAGTCTTACCTGTCATCGAAACTCATTGCAGCATGGCAATGGCTCTGTCTTAGGTTGCCGAGGTTCCACGCATATACTACCTCTTGAAATCATTGAACATTGACCATTTCTTTTTGGTACAGTGACTCTGTGTATACATTCCTTCTTCTTTTGATGCTTTCTGCATCATTCAATATTTTGTCCGTAGATTCTTTCAGTATTACAAGACAAGACTTGAATTTTTTCTTCCATTCTTTCAGCTTGAACTTGTTCTTCCCTTTTGGTTTTCTAACGACAAGTCTTTGCTCATTTCTGTTTAGTACTTTACTCTGTCTTCTTGAACTGCCTTTGAGCTGAATTTTTTGTTCAGCTCTTTTACTTCCTCATTTTTCTCTTTTGCTGTAGCATCTTTTTTCTGGAAAGCAAATTTGAGAGTCACTTCTACCATCCATTTTGGTCTTTTCTGCCTTTTTAATGACCTTTTGCTTTTTTCCTGATGTCATCCGACAGCTCTTCTTGTCTTCAGTCATTAGTGTCTAATGCATCAAATCTGTTCATGAGATGGTCTTTAAATTCAGTAGTTTCAAGTCATATTTTGGCTCTTGTGGATTTAAAAAATTTTTCTTGAGCTTCAACTTGAACTTGTGTAAGAACAGTTGATCTGTTATATAATCAGCCACTGACCGTGCTTTGGCTGATAGTGAGCCTTTTCACCATCTCTTTCCACAGATGTAGTCGGTTTGATTCCTGGGTATTCCATTTGGTGAAGTGCATGTGTATAGTTGCCTTTTATGTTGCTTATAAAGCTATTTGCAGTGAGTAAGTCGTTGTTGTTGCTGTTGTTAGGTGCCATCGAGTTGGTACCGACTCTTAGCGACCTTATGCACAGCAGAACGAAACACTGCCCGATGCTGGGCCAGCCTCACTACTGGTGCCATGCTTGAGTCCATTGATGCTGCCACTTGACCAATCCATCTCGTTGGTGGTCTTCCTCTTTTTCTCTGACCTTCCACCTTACTAAACATGATATCCTTCTCCAGTGACTGGCCCCTCCTGGCAATAGATCCAAAGTATGAGAGACGAAGTTTGGCCATCTTGGCCTCTAAGGAGCACTTTGGCTGCACTTCTTCCAAAATGGATCTATTGGTTCTTTTGCCAGCCCCAGGCACTTTCAATATTCTCCTCTAACACCGTAACACAAAAGCATCAATTCTTCTACGGTCTTCCTTATTCACAGTCCAGCTTTCACATGCATATGACATTATTTAAAATACCATGGCTTGGGTCAGGCGCACCTTAGTCTTCAAGATGAC